CCTTCTATCAAATATATTTTTAGGAATGTATTTCATTTGAAAGTACCAGTGTGAGCAGACCTGGCAACACAGACCTATAATCCCAGCTACTCAGAAGGCTGAGACAGGAAGGTCAAGGCCTATTTAGATTATTACATACAGTGAGTGCTAGGCAAGCTTGAACAAATTAGTGAGACTCTTTCAAAATAAAAAATACAAAGAGAGCTTGTATATAGCTCAGTGGCAGAGTACTTGCCCAGCATATATGTAGTCTTAGGTTCAATCCCCTGTACTGGCAAAAAACAAATGTGCCTGTTTGTATTAATCTGTTTATACCTACTGGCCTCTCCAGCTACCATGGACAGAGAGACGGCCTACATATACAGCTTTACAATCTCAGGCAATGACAACATAGGTATTCGATATTTACTGAATAAATGAAACATTCTGAATTTTTTTACGGCAGTCTCATATAGCTCAGTCTGGCCTCACCCTCACTCTGTAGCAAAGGAGGATCTTGAACTCATGACTCATCTGCCTCTACCTCCCAAGTGCTATAATTACAGGCATGCGCTATCATGCCCAGCTCCCTAAATAATTTTTAACTGGGTAATTTTTTTCTCTAAGCTATAATAAAAGCTTAGAATGCTCATTTCCCTTTAGGTCATTTCTTCCATTAAACCACAAGTACCTGAAATTCCACTTGTAAGTTGTATATCTTGGTAGAAAGTTGTTAGATCTAAGTTTGAATACTACTTCTGCCACTATTAAATAGTGGTATGCCTACATGTCATTGATAACTTCTTCCAGACCCAGTTTCCCTTTTTAAAAATGGGGTAACATCTCCTGCTTGATAGGAATGTTCTGAGGATTATTAATAAACTATACAGGCAGTCTTACTAGGATTTCAATATGCACATATTTTAGTATGCCAGAGTTCAGCTAAATACCACCAATCCCTGAATAATACAATTCAAATAAATATAGTACAAACTTTGCTGCTAGATCTTCCACCCACATATAATTATATAAAGCATACTTTTGTGTGTGTTTGGTTTTTTTCCCCTGGTCTTTGAGACAGGGTCTCTCTGTTGCCCCAGCAGGCCTTGAATTCACTATGTAGACCAGGCTGGCCTTGAACTCACAAAGATCCACCTGCCTCTGCCTCCCGAGTGCTGGGATTAAAGGCATGTGCCACAATGCCTGGCTAAAGAATACTTTTAGTCAGTTCTTTCAGTCAGTTGCTTTCAAAGTCATTGGATATCTGTTATTCAGATTCAGTTCACATACAAACAGCAAAGCATGTAACTGAGTTGCTTCTTTGCCTCCTGGTGACATCTAGCAAAAATGAATACTAAAAGGGAACTGGTCAACAATGGGGAAAGGGGAGCAGAGAAACAAATTCCAGTCAATAGAAATTCCAACCAAATGTAAACACAGTTATAAAATAAATAGCTAACCATGGAAATGTTGACACTGCTACCATTTAAGAGAAATAGAGATATGCTGTCCCAGGAGGGTAGTTAAGGCAAATTTATCAACATAATGAACACAACAGATGCAGTGAAAAGGATGAAGATAACCCAGAAGAAGAGTAGATACTGGCCAACAACACTCACAAAAAAGTGACTTCTACTTGAAGGAACCTTTGGAGATATTTCCCAATACGGAAAGTACAAAGAATAAAATGTTAAAAACTTAGCTAAATTCAAAAAGGGTTTGTCAATGCATAGGAAATACACTCATTCTATAAGTTATATATTGAAAAGGCAATCACTGTTTATACTTGATAGGTTACTTTACAAAGAAATAAAGCACGCTAACTTTTTAGGTTTTAATATTTTAAATTACAGTGTACTAGAGGCCACTTTCGCTTCTCATTTCCCTATATATTTATAGCCAACAGTAGCAGGGTTTTACTATGTCTGACAATTTTTTTTTTACATTTATTTATTTTAGGTGGGGGGGTGACACATGTGGAGGTCAGAGAACAACTTGTGGGAATCAGTTCTCTCCTTTTATCGTATGGGCTCCAGTGATTGAACTCAGGTCAACAGGTCTGGTGGCAAGTGCTTTTACTCACTGAGCCATCTTGCCAGCCCTACTTGACAAAACCTTTTAAAGTTTAAAGAACTGTAACTTTGTAAGATTGCTTTGGGGCTGCTATGATAGATAGCTCAGTGGGTAAAGGTGCTTGTTGCCAAGCCTGACAACTTGGATTTGATGCCCACAATCCACAGAGTGGAAGGAAAGAAATAACTTCCACAAATTGTCTTCTGACCTCCACACATGCTCTGTGGCATGTGCACAGGCCCCCATCCCATAGAAAGTGTAGATAAATAAATACAGATATTTTTTGCCTGGTTTTAACTTGCGTGGTCATTTGTATGGTCCCATACTACCAAACAAAACAAAACAAAAACCACCTATCCCTATAACTTCCAGCACATCAAGAGACTTACTATTTCTTAACTAAAGAGAGATTCTCTACCCTTTCCCTTGATCCTTATAATCTTTTCAAATAAAAACATATTTGAATAGATCTGAGCTGATATTAAAGAGAGAGCTTTTCTGGGCTGAGAGTAACCACTGCCACATCAGCAGTTCCCCAAACTCATTATTGTCCAAAATGCATGCACCATAATGATGAAAGACAACTGAATAACTTGAATGGTTACTCAGCTTATCTTCTGTGATAGTGCAGAATTTCATGTTCTTTTAGTTCTTCTCCCTTGAATGCCAAGAGTAAAACAATAAGTGTGACAAAACGAAGGATGGGGAGGTAAAAGTACATAATAGATTTAGAATACAACTCCAATTTGAATACTATTTCCACACTACTTATTGCAACCTAAGATAAATTACTTTTCAGAAATTCATGTTCCTATCAGATGTGGTGGCTCACTCCTGTAATCACAGTACTTGGGAGGCTGAGACAAGAGGATTACTAAGAGTTTGAGGCCAGCCCAGACTACACAGTGAGTACCAGGCCAGCCTGGGCTACACAGTAACAGAGACCATATCTCAAAAAACAAAAAACTAGGGGCTGGAGAGATGGCTCAGCAGTTAAGAGCATTGGCTGTTCTTGCAAAAGACCCAGGTTCAAATTCCAGCACCCACATGGTGGCTAACAACCATCAGTAACTCCAGTTCCAGCAGATCAGACACCCTCTTCTGTCCTCTTTGTGCACCACACAACATGGGGGCACTTACACATATGCAGGCATAACACTCATACACATAAAATAAAAATAATTTTTTAAGTTAAAAAAAAACAAACAAAAAACTAAGGCTGGAAAGATGGCTGGCTACTCCTGCAGAGGACCTGGGTTTGGTTGCCAGCACCCACTTGGCAGCTAACAACTGTAAAGTTCAAAAGAGATAAGACATTTGAAAAGATTTAGCAAACTGTGGCACATAAGTACTTAGATAACTATTATCCTTACTACTATAATAAAAACTACCACTAATGTAAATATGATAATGGTGCACTTGTCATGAATACATATTTTAAATATATATTAATCAGTAGGGGTTGGGGGGGTGAGAAAGTGTCTCATGTAGTCTACAGTGATCTAGCACTATGTACTTGCTATGTAGCAGACACTGGCCTTGAATTCCTGATTTTCCTTCCTCCATCTACCAAGTGCTGAAATTATAGGCATGTGCCACCACACCCAGCTTTTTTTTTTGGTCATTTTTTTTTCAGTACTGGGAATTGAAGTCAGGACCTCATACATGCTAGACAAACACTCTACCACTGAGCTACACCCCCACCCCCTACCCCCAGCTTTTTAAATTACCATATTTTTCAAAGGTCAAATCCTCTTACTCTAATAGACACTTACCACTATGCCATATGGTCAGACAATTTGACTCAACTTCCTTCAGACCATTTTCTCCCAAGGACTGTGCTCAAAGGGCTTGCCAACACACTCATTTATCTTCCTCATGCAACCCTTCTGATTTCCATGTCAAAACCTTCTTGCAGTCTGCTCAGTTTCCTCTTCTGAGGACATGAAGAACTAAAGCCATTTCCCATTTCTCAGAGCTATTTGCCAAAACACTAGTATCTTGCTCTCTCAGTCCACATGACTCAACTGCCAGTTCTCTCTTTTGATTCTAATCCAAAATCTTGGTTCTCAACTAAGAGTCATTACTACCTATGTAGACTAATGAAGCTGCATAAGGCCAGTTCCCATTCCTTACTAAACAATTCCTACAAAAATACTTAGGTGAGCAATGCCTGCTTTAGCGCTCCTGCTCCTACACCCCCATGCCAACTTGTTCCATGACAATATCATTGGTTAGAATTTTTTTCTTTATGTTGAAGCAAAATCTCCCTGCTTACCATTGTTTCTTCCGCCCATTGCCCTCAATACCACATTTCTTGAGAAACTGAGAAAGCAAACTACTCTGTTATTCAAGCCCATCAATATTTGAAGAACTCTCCCATAAGAGGGGGAAAAATTACACACTTGCCAATGTTTGGGCTGCCCAGGGGAGACCATCGAACCGGTAAAACTGTCCCCCGGAGGGGAGCGAGGTCTGCAGAGGGGAAGGGAAGGAGGGACCCTAGCGAGTGTCCACAGCTGGGAGAGGATGAGGCTGGAGAGGGGCCCCCTTCTCCACGCCAGTCCGGTCCAGGCCGGGTGGCAGCGGGTCGAGCAGCAGTCCCGGGCCCTCCCTGCCAGGACAGAGACCTCAGCCCCACTTCCCCGCGGGCGCCGGGCCTGACCCAGCCGCGCGCAGGTAGAAGGGCTCCAGCCCCGCGCCTCTCGCCATCCTCGGAGGTCCAGGCGGGGCGAACGCTCTGAAGACCCCCTGCAGCCGGCCTGGACACTCAGGACTGGCTCTTCCGCTCCCCGGTTTCCCCTCAAGCCTCAGGTCGCAGCTCCAGCTTGCCCGGCCCGGCCTGGTGCCTCCCCTCGCGGCCAGGCTCGCCCTCCGCGTTCTCCACACGCGCTCCCCACATAAGGCGTTGCACCTCAGCATGCGCCCTGGCTCCTCGCCACACTCACAAAACTCGGCGATGAACTGGGTCACTGCGTAGTTCTCCTCGCACCAGTCCAAAGTGGAGGTCGTGGGGCCCCAGTAGCCCTTGCGGTCCCCGGCAGGAGCCATCGCGCCGCCGCCCTGCGCTCCACTCAGCCGCTCCTGGCCGGCTCCAGCACTGCGCGCGCTCCGCTGCCCTCCTCCCTTACCTCAGGGGCTGGGCCCGAGCCTTCACTGAGCCTGCCCAGCAGCGGGCCCCGCCCACCGCGCCGCTGGAGCTGCCCCGCCCCGCGGCATAGCCCCGCCCCCTCACAAACCCGCCTACTCTGCCGTAGCATTCGCCCCTCCCGCTGCACAGCCCCGCCCACCTCTCCATTTGTTGGGGGCAGGGGAAGTGAGCCCGGGGAGGAGATAAAGATGCCGGCAGTCTGGCCCGCCTAGACTCGCGGGTGACGCAAGGTGGGAGGCTCCCACCACCCTCTTTTCTGGACGGGGCCGAGCCTCTATCAGTGTGTGGGAGGTCTAATTTAATTGGGGCGGGGGTGTGATGAAGCCTTCCGCTGTCAAGCCTCAGCTTGATTAAACCAGGATAGTGAGGCGCCTCTGTGTCTACGCTAGCCACAGACCTCGAACCGTGAGCCCACAAACAGCACCCCCAGCCAGCCCGGGTGATTCCCAGGAAGTCATTAATCTGTTATCAGGAACAAAAGATAGGACAACAACTGAGGATGGGAAAAAAAAAATTGTTAATATTTTTTAGTTAATTATATATATATATATATATTATATATAGGTGATGTTCTTAAAAGTATGCTCTGGATAAAGCACTAGAAAAAGTTTATCAAGAAATAAAAAAGCTTGTCGATTTCCATTTGGACTTCCAAGCTCAGTTTTCTGCCTTTGGAGTGTGGTCCTACTTGGCAGGCAACCACCAGGCCCCCTCAGTAGCAAGATTCCAATACACCTCAGAGCCTTCAGAGTGATCTATTAAATACACACACGGTGGGCCAGCAAGATGGTTCAGTGGGTAAAGGTGCTTGCCATCCATACAGGCCTGGTGAGCTGAGTACAATCCCCAGAAACCATGTAAAGGTGTCAGAGGAGAGAACACATCTTACGAAGTTGTCTTCTGACCTCTGCACACACACCCTTACATATGTTTTCTCTCTCTCTCTCTCTCTCTCTCTCTCTATCTCTCACACACACACACACACACACACAAATAATAACATAAAAATTTAAATAAAAACAGATGCACCCTGTTGCCTTTTGTGTTCAGCACCGTCAAACTTTCCCTATGCTGGTGTCTAGTTTGCTGTCTGTTGCTCTGATAAAACACTAACCAAAAGCAATTTGGCAGGAAAGAGTTTATTTCACTTTACAGAATACAATCCATCATCTAGTGAAGCCAAAGCAGGAACTCAAGGCAGGACCCTGGAGGCAGGAACTGAAGCAGATGCCCTGGAGAAACACTCCTTACTAGCTTGCTTTCCTCCTGGCTACTTTTCTTATACAGCCCAGGCCCGCCTATACAGGGATGGCACCACCCATGGAGGTCTAGGCCCTCCTACATCAACCAGCAATCATGAAAATGTCCCACAGGCAGGCCCACAGGTTACTCTGATGGTGGCCATTTCTCCATTGAGGTTCCTTCTTCCTAGCGTGTTTGTGTCTAGTTTGTGTCAAGTTGACAGAAATTAACCAGCACAGCTGGGAATGTGCTGGTCACCTCCCATAGTTCTGCTTTTGGTCCTGAATTTGGCTAATTCCTCACTTATCCTTTAAAAATATCCTTTAGCTCCCTGAAGACCTCCCTGACTCTCACACCTAAGAAGCTCCTTTGCCCTTGGTTCTCCTCCTGCAGAGATGCCACTGAATAGAGGAAACCTTGCCTTCCATTCTTTATGACCCTGTCCGACCACACAGTATGAAATGCAGAGTAGAGTTTACGGATTGTACAGTTGCTGTCTTCTAACTAAATCAGATGAGTTGCAATCAAAGGGAAAAGAAAAGGGGAGAGACATGTAACACTATTCACTCTGGTATGTAATTACAATGGGTTTACCTGATGTGACCCATAAGTCAAGGTGTATTTGATTTACTTTTCAATAAACAAACAAGAAACCAAATTTTGAAAGTTTTCAACCAGATTCTCATTGAAAATTCTTTTTACTACTTCCCAAGATAACAAAGCAGTCCAAGCCATAATCCATTTCCCACATACACATGAGGTATGTTGTACCATTTCACAAATAAAAAGGAAACCCATGATGCCAAATATGTAAAGTAACCACAAGTTAATTGAGCTTATAATTCACAACGTTACCTCCTGTCTTTCCTTCTTATCTGTAATCACATGTGTTATCCATTGTGCCACTGGCCTATACCTGGGCATAGTTGTGACAGTCCTCCAACACTTTATTTTATTAGCACTCAGGAGGTACAGGCAGGAGGATGGCAAGTTCAGGGCTAGCCTGGACTACAAAGACAGAGATGATCTCCAAAAAATGGGGGGTGTCAGGGGAGCTAGTTCAGCCATAAAGCGCTTGTCATGAAAGCATTAGGACCAAGTTTGATCCACAGAACCAACATTTAAAAAAGTCAGGAATCATGGCAAGCACTTATAATACTGGTGCTGAGGAGGCAGAGACAGGTAAATCCCTGGGGCTGACTAACCAGCCAGCCTAGCCTACTTGGTGAGCTCCAAGCCAGTAAGAGACCTTGCTTCAAAAACCAGAGTGAGGCAGGAGAGATGGCTCAGAGGTTAAGAGTGCTGCTGCTCTTTCAAAGGACTCTAGTTCAGTTCATGCACTCATAGACAATTGACAACACCCTGTAACTCCAGCTTCAGGGAATCTGACACCCTCTTCTAGCCTCCCACACATATATGCACATACACACATACATGTAAATTTTAAAAAGCAATGATGGGGCTGGAGAGAGAGCTCAGCAGGTAAGAGCACTGGCTGTTCTTACAGAGGACCCAGGTTCAATTCCCAGCACCAACATGGTGGCTAACAACCATCTGTAACTTCAGTTCCAGGGGATCCAACACACTCTTCTGACCTCTTTGGCACTACACAACACGGGTGCACCTACCTACATGCAGGCAAAACACTCATACATATAAAATAAAAATAATAAGTAAGATATTTTTTAAAAAATAAATAAATCATTAAAAGGTGGACAGTGCCTGAGGAAAGACACCTGAAGTTGACCTCTGTACTGCACATACACACTCCACGTGCACATGTACACACACACGCACACACACAAGATCATTTTTCATGGGAACTGGCAAAAAGTGAACTGAGCCTCTACTCCAGACCAAAATTTAATCCAGGGTTGGGAATACAGAGTAGCATAGCTCCTATTTTTTAACCTGATAGTAATTTAACTGGTAAAATAAAATGTGACACTAACCAAGCCACACTAACCAAGCAAGCTAGCAAGTCCATTTTGTAATAATGCTTTACAAACCCCTATTGTGTGCCAGATACTATGGTAAGCAACAGAAGACAAAGCAGATATACATCAAGGGTCAAAATGGATGTAACAAACAGTAGCTAACACTTATATAATATTCACACAGCTCTGACCCCTCAGACTATTTTTGCAATCTAATACTCCTCTGAATCAAGTACTATTTGTACATAGGATGAAATTGACTCTGTGATTTAGAAATTTTGCCCAAGGGCACCTAGGCAATAAGTTTCTGAGCTGAGGCTAGGATTTGGGCAGTCTGGTACCAGAGGTGTATTTGTGTCTCCTGTGCCTAGCTGGCCTGGTAGGAACTTGGAGGAGGGGTCTGAGCTGGCCTCCCTAAGGGCCAGTACTGTGTTTGATTTCACTCTGCTCCTGGTGTGTAGAAATTTGACTTGACAAGTCTACAGGAATGATTCTATTTAGAAACCCAAAGGGTTTTAAGCACAAAGTTGACATGGGTCCAGCTGAATTGGGAAAGATGGGAAGCTCCTAGTGATCTAGTGAAGCCCATTAGTGATGAAGAAGGGCACTTCTTTTCAAATGATTAGCAGACAGAAATCAACAGGATTTGAGAGGAACTTGGAGGAAAGGTGTATTAGGGTTCTCTAAAGAAACAGAACCGGTAGAATGAATATATACACAGGAATAGAGTCCAAGTAGTTCAATAATGGCTGCAGCACACTGGAGAGGCTGAGGATCCGTAGTAGCTCAGTCCACAAGGCTGGATGTCTCAGTAGTCCCAATCTGGCACTGAAGGTCTGACAAATTCCAAAAGGTCAGCTAGTCTTCAGTCTACAGCAGCAAGACGAACTCACCAGCGAGAGAGAAGGCAAGCAGCAAGAAGCCTGGTGTTCTCCTCTGCCTTGGTCTTTTATACCGGCTGCCATCAGAAGGTAACGCCCACATTTAGGGTGTGTCTTCCGGCTTTACATGGTCCAGTCAAGAAGATCTCTTTCATTTCAGTTAATCCCAGATTCAATCAAGTTGACACCCAGGATTAGCCATCACAAAGGGTTAAGGGAGAAGGACAAGGTTGGCGCAACGGTTTCTAGCCATTCCAGCTGCTGGAAAAAGCAGAAAATGAGTCTGGCTGCAGTGAGTAGGCAGTCTGTTAGAGCGTGTGTGGAGAGGCATTTCTGGGCAAGAAAACAGCCAGCAAGGCTTTGAAAGGGCAAGAGAAAGACAAGCAGAATGAGACATTTGGAGTGGCTGCACTTCTGTGCAGAGGTGGGGGCAGGGCCAGAACAACTGAGGGCCTGAGAATGCAAAGCCCTGGGCCTAATGTCCTATGCCCTTGGCATATGTCCTAGCCAAAGAAAAATTAAAAGGGAATAAAATGTACAATTTTGGGGTTAGGCAAAATAGGTGTCCAGGTTTGAGGGGAGGTTGTAGTAGGGCAGAGGGGGTTTGTAGTAGGGCAGGATAGGGAGATAGCTATGGCAGTAATCCTGGCAAAGACTAGGCAGGTCAGATTAAATTGCAACACAGCCTTGGGCAATTCTTGCACATCTTCTAGGACAGAATTCCAGGGCTCACTGATTTACAGAAAACATAAGAAAGCAAAGGTTTCCTAGATCAGCTCCCAAGCCCCAAATGTGTCACCCTGGGAAATAAGTCAGACCAAAGAACCACCATGGCCTTTAGTTAAAGGCCCAAGTGATCACAAAATAAATACCATGGGGTTGAATATTCATTGACTAACCCTAAACAGACTGTTTCTTTTGAATGAGAT